AGAGTGTAAACTGGGAATTTAGGTACCCAAATTTATGCACCTAATCCTAAACCCTTTGAACAGACCTGTTTTGGTTTGGTTTTAGAGTGCCTCTGAAAGTGACTCTAGTTAAAATGACCTAAATATCTCGTGGAGGAGCCAGGTGAAGCCCACAAGGTGAGGGGGCTTTGTTCCCACCCCTCCCCCTCAGCTCTGGCCATTCAAACCAGCCAGGAGCTCCCTCTCTCTCCTTCTCCCTCCCTCCCCATGACAGCCTGTGGAGTTTGACAGGACTGAGAGGGTGGCCACCCCAGCCCAGCCCCTACTGGCTGATTGCATGAAAAATTAACCCTAGAAGCAACACGAGTTCCCTAAGGTGCTCTGCTTTTCAGTGACTTAATGTAATACCTGATTTAACCAATTCTTCACACAACCAGCCATTTTAAAAGAGCTCTGCAGCCATGCATGTGTGTTATGACATGGCTGTAGAGTGCTTTCAGGGGCCAAATCACTCAAAAATGTTGCTTCTGTCTGTGCCCTGAGAGGGACAGGGGGTAGGCGGGGAGGGGAGCAGGGTAAGGTATGTTGGGATGCTAGAGGGTAGCATGGAGGCTTCTATCAGAGAATTCTACCAGAGACCACCTGTACCTCATTGGATGAGGTAGAAGTTTCCACCAGATCCACCGTTTTTGGTACAGTAGAAACTATTTGAATGCTTGTACACTTAAGCTTTATACCACTGGAACTATGACTGCATTATACACTAACGTCTAGCAATTTTCCTGAATCCTTTCCCCCCAGGCCCAACATTCTCTTTCCTATCCAGCCACCTTGCCAAACTCATTCCTGACAGCTCTAGGAGATTAGTCTTTCCTTCCCTCTCTATCTTTGGCTCCCTGTGAAATCAGATGACAATTCCAGCAGTCACTAAACTGCCATAAAAACACTGATAAAAAATTGAAGGAAAAGTAATTTAAAAAAAACTCTGAAGTCATTTTCATTTGTAAGCATCTGTCTTCTTATGGGTACATTTTTAAGTTGAAAAAATGTACCTAGCTCTATGGCTGAGTACAAGAGCTGCTTGGCATATGCTGCACCTTTCTTTACCTATGTAGTCTTTTGGCATGACAGTAGACTTCTCCTCCCTGCAAAAGACATGGGCTAGCACAATCCATACTCTATCACAGTTACTGATGTAACTACAGGGCCTCATTGCAAGTCCTGCAAGCCTTGAGGCAGCTGTACAGGACATAGATTGTGCCAATGCCTGCTGTCAGGGAATACTGCAGCACCAAAATGCTATATGGATAGGCTTACTATGGTTATATCACCTTGAAGAAAAGGATATTGAAGATTAAATATATTTTCAAGCAGAAAATTACCTGGTGAAATTTGAAAGGATATTACATTTTACACTAACAAGCTTTTATCCTTAACTATCTGTCTACTAGTGACAGACAAGAGATACCTAAATTTTCAAGTGTGTACCTACTACTGTGAAGCACCTAACTTAAGACAGGTGGGTCTTCATTTATTGGGCAACTTCAGCTTTCATTTCAGTCAATGCCTGGCATTCTGCAAAATGGCTGATTATGGGTGGATACTGTGAAATTATTTCTGGTTAGACAAAGAGAAAGTTAACTTACAGATGAAAACAAAAAGAAAGGGAAAAAGCATTTGTGTGACTTAGAGGATTTGTTTGCCTCAAAGAATGAAGGAAGCTCTGATTATAGAAGGGATTCAAAGGAAAATATGCATGAGTAAAACTTGGGAAATATCTACACGGCATAATTTGGTGCTGTATTGCACATTTAGAGCTATCTCAGGGACAGGAAGCAGTACATCCACATCAATATAGTGTTCTGTATAAGCTACTATGTTCCGCTTCTCAGTGTGAAATTTAATACCCCTCTCAGAAGAAAAAATTAGGTTGGTGAATGCTGCATTAGTATAGCTTCTCTGGACTGAGTTAGCTAGTTTAAAGCTAGTTCAGGTATCAGGAAGGATATTGAATGTATATGCCTTTGTAAGATCTGTGTTTCCTTTACAGAAATCCTTAATTCTGATTAAATTAGAACATAATGCCAGACTCCCTGATATTACCCTTAATTATTGTGAAGTGTGATCTTATTATTCTGGAGATTCAACAATATTTCTCCCTTCTTAAACATCTCATTCTGAGTCCCTGCAGATTCCATAGTTAAGTATAGCTGAGGGTGTTTCTGGAATTCAGAAAGCCAGGAAATCAGCCTTGGTTTGCCCCTGTCTTAAAAACAGCAGTTATACACATAACATTTTTCTTTTCTCCATATAACTGGTTAAGGACTAGATCCAATAAAAGATAAAGACACCTAGGGTGCCCATACACATGCAGGCAGGCTTGATCAACTGAGTTTGCTGGAGCATGCTAATTAGCATACTCCAGCCAGCCTCTACATCCCACGTATCAGTGTCCCCGCACTTTGAAATGGCGGCGGGGATGCTTTAACTAAAGCTCGTTCATGAGCTTTAGTTAAAGCACCTCCACCGCCATTTTGAAGCATGAGGACACAGATATACGAGATGTTGAGGGCACTTTAACTAGAGTGATTTTCAGATCCACTCTAATTAAAGTGCCCTGTCCCCCTCTTTACCCCCAGAGCACATGTAAAAACACCCCTAAAATCCATGGGCATGCTCAGTGGTTATTTCCTACTGAATGCCACTCAGGATCTAAGAACAAGGGAATTCTGCCTAAATACCCTGAGGGGCCTGACTGAACAAAAATCTTCTAAACATACTTACCACTTCAGCTGGATCACTGCTGAGCCTCTCCTGCTCTCTCTCACTCAGCCTGTGGCCAAGCCCACAAATAAGCCAAATCTTGGACCAGTCCTGAACATGGACTCCTGTACCATTCTCAGGGTTTCTGACTGTATCCTCACCAGAAGTGTGTGGACAAGACTATATTTCTTGATGGCAGTCCCAGGGTCAGCAGGAAGGTGTTCTAGACATGGCATAATTTTCCTGACTTGGTCACATGCTGGAAGGAGGTAAGTAGGTCCTGGGCACAGCAGCAAGCTAGTATAGACATATTTCATAGTGAGAGGATCAGCCTCTCATGAAATGCCTTGTGGTGTTACACATCCTTTATATATTAAGCCAGAGTTTAGATCTTACACCTCGTAAAAGGATCTTGGCAGTGCCCCCCTTTTCTATAATAGATTAGTCATTATAGAATCATTTTGGAAATAGGAAGCACAGGTTCAATGCCTTCCTCCACCTGAGATATTTTAAACCCATATATTTTACCTCCCAGGAGCCTAACCACAGGATCTGGAAGAGTCTGCTTGGAGAGGGACTCAGTGTTGAAGCTGTGCCACTATACAGAAAGGAATTCAAGAGTTGTTAATCCAAATGGAGAACACCAAAAGTAGCCTGAGTCTAGTCTAGCAGCTAGGGCACGCATCTGGGAGAGTTCTGGATCCTGCTCCAGGGACTCATTCTGAATTTTATCTGATAACTGCTTAATGTAACTGGATGAGTCCTTCAATCCTAAGCTATTATATACAGGGTGGGCACGAGCTCACCACAAACCTTATTTGAAAAAGAATTCCTCCCTAGCCCCTCTGCTCAGAGTTTCCTACTGGTTAATTCTAGGTGGTCCCAGCTCCTTGTGCAGCTTGTGCAGGTGTTTTTGTTTGCTATTATTATCTGCTTAGTTCTTCCATGCACTGTATAAGGAGCCAAACTGGCTAATTCTACCTTCTAGGCTCCATTCCAGAAGATAAATGTTAGATGTTGCAGCTTCTAATTTCTAAACATCTAAATACCTTTATTGGATTTAGCTTTAAATTATTTTGTATTTATGTTATCAATAATGCAACTCTTGCAATGCTTGAAAAGTATATATTAGTCCTTAAATTTAAAAAAACCCAATGCTTGTATCTTTAATAGCTCAGATTACATGCATTCATGTGCCTTGTTCTTGTATTTTGAACCACTTCAAGTAGCTCCAGAGCCTCAACACCTAATACAGCCTCTACCAAGAAGCTCTTTAAGATATCTATATTCCCAACTCTAGTCTTGCAAAGTGGTACAGGAAATTAAATTAAAATAGTTACAGGTGATTATATTGATAATCCAAACAAGTATCCCATCCAAACTGGTAGCAAACAAGACTGCTGACTGGACTGGAAATAGTATATAGTCTTATCTCCTCTACATATCACATCATTTCTGTGAATCCCATGAAAATTTTCTTTAGACTTTATATATGTTCATTTCTCCCAAATCATCCTACAAATCAAAACATAAAAATAAAAAGATGGTATTTTCAAAATCATTCATCTCTGATCTAACTGCTTCTACTGAAGTCATTCCCCACTGACTTTGCAGGGCATAATACAGCACTTTTGAAAAGGTAGCTCTTTTGAAAATCTCATCTTCCTATTCTGAAAAACACAGGAAAGCACAAAAAGCTCCAAATCCTTTAGTTTAGTCCAAAAGCCATATTTTCAGAGAATGAGCTAACAGATGAGCTCTGGTTGCGGTGAGGGTAAGGTGAGTGAAAGTGAATATCATGACAGAACAGTGGAGAGACTACACCAGCAGCAAACAAGCAAAGGAGTATCTGAGGAAAGAGATACAGGGGAACTGCTATATGATAAAAGAACAATGGGAAAATCTCCACACACACAAAATTTACAAACTGTGCATGCCTTCATTATTGCTTAAAAGTGTGTGTGTCAGTGTGCCATTTGCACAATGACAGGAGGCCGACTTCAGATCCATTTGAAAATTTGACCCCAAGTCTCAAAACACTAGCATGACAGTTTAATGAGCACACACATGCCCCCCCCACCCCCCAAGAAAGAGAGAGGCTGCTCTTAAAAACATACAGCTCTACCTATACTGAGAAATGCCATTTTCTTCAGTAATGCCTAGCAGGGATATTATTTTATAACTAGCGGGCATTGAGCATTAAAAGTGAGCCACATTACCAACTACAAAATGATAATATTAAACAAATGTTTACATACTGAAAGTTGTCCAGACAAGAACTGTGGAACATCCCTCAACATGCCAGGACTCATGGGAGAAGTCACTGAAATAGAAGGTCGATCCATTTTTTGAGATTCAAATGAGCTAGAACCTGAAAATGCAAATGAATATACCTTAAAACTTATGTAATTTTTTTTTCTCTCAAAGTCCTGTAAAACATTAAGATATACAAAAGGCATGTATATCAAGGTATACAAAAGAGCCTGTTATACAATAATTATGCAGCTTATAGTAATGAAAACTGGCATCCTTGTAATGTATTTAGAATTACCAAATGCCTCACAAGATGCAGAGAAAAATCCAATTAAAATATGTTGTGAAAATTCATGTCACGCATAAGGAATAAATGGTATGTTTCAATATTTGCTAGATATTTTAAAACATGCTTATGTGCTAGATCCCCTCAGATTCCATTGATTTAATTGGGTCTTCAGGGCATTCTGCACATTTCATGAGGTACTCAGAATTTTGTTGAATTAAACCAAATTATCCTGAAATTTTATAAAAATACCAGAAGACAGGTGAAAATATTCGGGTGTTTGGTTTGTTGTTCCAAACAGTGGCAAAGAACAGATTTGTGACATTACAGATAGAGCAAGAGGAGGAACCTAAGTTAGTATACAGTACAAAAATGGATATTAATATCCAAAATCTTGCAAAGCACAAGCAAATGTATTTTGAGGCTTGATTCATCACTAAAGAGTTAGTGTGTTTGTTTACATTTCTGTAATTAACATGTTTATACTTTTAATAATAGTATATATAAATAAATAAACTGTAAGATGGCCATAGAGAATAAATTCAGAATGAAATTTGACATCCAAGGTCAAAGGCAAAGATAAATCTTTATTTTCCCCCACACACAAATTTTGGTTTGGTAATTTTTAAGTCATACTGAGTGGCCCAAACAACTCCTATATTTTTGTTTAATAAATAAAACCTCAACACAGGAAATTAAAAATGAGGATTGCAAACCTAACTAAATCCTCTGACTTCTGATGTGTATTATTAAAGAGTGATGGGCAGCTAGAGAGATACAGAGACAGAGAGACAGCCATCTTTTCAATTTCTCAGTTTGCATTAATGTAAAAGAAATTTACTACCAAAAAAATGAAACTTACTGGACTCCAGTTGTGCATGTGTACTGTCAGGTATTCTGGGAATATCCCTGAAATCATGAAAAGCAAGACAGGCTGATCCTTTATCTAACAGTAATATAAAAGCTTCAGTCAACTCTAAAAATGTTCAAAATCACCACAGAATACCTCAAGAAACCATGTTATACATGATTATATATATGGGCTGCCCTCAGCCAAATGGGAGATTTACTCCCACCTAAATTCATATATGCAAACATAATATATTTATAGTTCAATAACAAGTAAAGGGCTGTATAACAAACAGTTTAATGAATGCAGCTAAGAACATAAAGCCACAGATAGACAAGTACATTAAAGAAAATCACACAATCATTCAAAAGTTCAACATAGTCTGGAATTGTTCAGAGACAACCTTGTTACGACAACATAAACCACTTTTCACATGTTGGTTCATTGCCAGTGCTGTCTATGTTCTTTGCTGGCAATAGATAGTCAATAAGGATAATGTACAAAGAAACTTCTACTCTTTCTATGGGACCACTAAATATGAGGTTTGTTTGACAACTGGACAAAAATGAGCAGCCTGAGTATTTTCTATTATGTGATAACTATTAGCAAGCTGGATGGGAATACAGCAGTAGCATAACTAAGAGTGGGGAGAGTACTGGGATGTGGCCGGTGGGGAGGGGAGTGCGCCTCCCCCTCCCCTCCACCTTTTTTTCAGTGCCTCTGACAGCCAGAAGCAGTACTCATGCGACATGTGAGGGGAGTGCAGAGCAGCCACTACACAGTTGGCCCTGGCCAGAGGTTTCCTTGCAGGCAGAGCTGCTCCTGCAAGGGGAGGTATCAGTTAATCTTCTTTCCTCTTTTTTTTGCTGCAGAATTTCACCTTTTAAATTGCCTCTCCATATACAATTCAGCAGCCGCTTCCATGTTAACCCCTGCAGCAGCACCACCTTGCCCAGTTATATCTGCTGCTTTTGCTCCCTGCATTGCATCCCTGGGCACAGAGCTGTCAAGTCATGCCTCTGGAATGCAGATAATAAACCATGTAGGTCACAAATAAATTTAACACTAAGGACTTGATTTGAAACCCTCAACACAGGCTATTTGTTGTTCGGGCTAAAACAGCAGACATAACCATTTAAAGCTCTAGCATATTTCTACTAGAAGATGCAAAGCATATGGCTATGTCACTTTGAAGCATCCATGTTCCAGTGACTAAGCACCTCATTAGGCCATGGGTGCACAACAAGGACTGTTCTCCCCAGGCTACCCATGTATAGTTTCCATTAACAATATGTTGGTAAAAACAAATAGTGCTGTAATGGGTATCTGGGCACAATGAGGTAAGAATAGGGACTTCAGGTCTGAGTCAGACTAAAAACAGCCTTTAAAGTAATTATTTGTGCTTAAATGTGTTTGTTTTTTTGGGAAAAAAGGGAAGGGGCATGCTAATAAATCCTTCTGGCAATACAATAAAACAAATCTATAGAATGTATATATATAAGCTAATCTAGTACAATGCAAAAACAATTTGATGAAAAAACAGTTCTCGATGAGATGTGGATAGAAAGATACCTTTGTTTAATGGATGGAGGAATTTTTCCAAGTTCAGTGGTGCTGCAGTATTCAATAAACCAAATGTTTCAGAAGAGATACAGTTGGCATAATAAAATGCAGTGACTAAGGAACTCTTATTTCTGTCATCTTAATACGTAAACATATGTAAAAAATGTATTGAGGCTGCTGCATAAAGACATATTTAGGGCTTACCTGTTTTACAGATATAAAATTTACAGAGAAATCCATTACTTGCCTACCTCTTGGGGAAGAAACGTGATCCAGAATCTAAGCTATTATTTTTTTAAGTTTTTTTTCTAGCATATGTTTATAAAGAAGCCATCAAAAAGATGTACCACTGTGAACCGATGAAATAATTTCTTCTTGGTGTATAAAGAGCTAAAGCCTTCCGCTTGAAAGACGTGATCTATTCCATTCATCCCCCTGAAACTATAGCTAACAAATATTGTGTAATTACATATGTGATCAGTCTTACAGATGAGAGTCATTAAGTTCCCTCACTTTCAGTCACAAGTTAGAAAAGTGGTCTAGGGTAAGTGAATGAATGAGTCTGAAATTGTCTGTGGTTTATAGGTGCTTCTTGGGGTTGTATCACTGAGTGGATAACCAGCCAAGAGAGGTTAGCAATATGAGGGGATACCTGAATTGTAAGCAGCATCTTGGGAATTATGTGGGCTGAAGAGTTTAGCTGAGGCCAAAAATGGACATCTCAAAATATGTCCCCATTGGCCATTACTTCTGCATATGGATTCAGAAAGGGAAGTGGGTGGGCAGTAGGTGAAGAGGCAAAGAGGCTGCTTGCCAAATTGTCTCCACAGCAGATCTCCACAGGAAGGAAGAATAAGTGCAGGGAAACCCCTGAAGTCTACCTGACTTTGTGAGTATCTAGGCAGGCTGCAGGAATGCAGGGCTTTGATGCATGTCAAGGAAAATGTGTGATACCTGGGAGCCCTCAACAACTAATGAGGCCAATTTGTTTCATTACCTAAAATGCTATCGCTACTTATGTGCTTATCCCAAACTATCCCCAATGTCTCCTCAGGTTCCAAAAGGCCCAAATGTCCCCTACCAACTGACTAAAATCTTCTGTTCAAGCTTGAAAGAATCTACAATGCAGGTATGTCCTGTCAAATGGAAGGTTTTTGACACACTGAACACTAAAAATGAAGTAACACTGTAAAATAAACTGAATATAAAAGACAGCATAAGAGGGATTACTGTAGTGTTCTTTCATTTCCACATTCAGTTAAGAACTCTTTTTAGGTAGATTTATGATGTCTAATGAAGTGCACTAAGATGCTGTGAAATCTAGCATGCTAGTTGTAACCTCCTTTCTCCTCTTCATCCTCCTCTAGTACCTACCCCAGAGCATCCCCAAATAGAATACAAGTCAGTTCCATCTTTATTACAATAACATCATTATTAGGCAAACAATCTTTTTTCTGCTGGGCTTTTGAGTTGTCATTCAAAGCATGTTTCACTATAAGTATATTTGATAGCATACTTAAAACATGATATTATTCTTTGGTATGGCTCTTAACTATGTTTAGAACAGCTAATATATATTAAAACTAAAAAACAGCTGAAAAGTTACATAGATGAGGAAAAGACCATTTATCCATTAAAATTCATTTTAAAATAATGAGAGGGGAAAATTGTATGTGAAGAAATTACTAACTTGTTTCATTTTTTGAGGAAGATCCTCCAGGATCTACCATTTCACCCTCCTTCTTACCTGTTCCTATCACCTTCGGTTTTCATATTAGACAACCCACAACAGAGTCAGAGAAAACTGACTTATCAGAATTTGTCAATGTATTTTGAATGTCAGAGTCACATAACAGTGACACAATATGCCTTCTCTCATAGAAGACAATTTGCAGTCTCAGCTGGTTTGGAAAGCTCTAGCTTGAGCCAGAGCATAAATATAAGCTTTCCAAATGGCTCCACAATGCACTGACATAGTATATAAAAATAAATGGTGGGATGAAATATTAGTTATCCTAACTGAAATAATGACTTCTGTTGATTTGACCAAACATGAATCCTTCAGAATTTTAAATGGTTTGACGTTTGATTTCTTAGGCCAAAACCTAGCCTAAGGCTGTGTCTGTCTAGATGTAAATCTGTAAGATGCACTGCTTCCAGCCCCATTTTAGCTGTGATTTGGAATATCCTGAAGCCCAGTGATACTGCAATACATAGGTGCATCCAGGATTTTAAAAAGGGGTATATAGCTTGACCATGGAGGGAACTGGAGGACAGGGGCAGGTGGGCTCCCAAGGCTGGCACGAGAATCTGGGTGGAGGCTGGGCAAGGAGCAGGGACCTGCCTTCTGTTGCCACCATCTTTGGTAGAGCCCAGCATTTCACAGCTGTTCATTGCAGCTGGAGCCCCTGGGCTGGCAGAGGACCCAGTGATGGAGAAATAAAACAGGGACAAGAAAACGGAGGAACAGTTGCCTCTGCTGTTGTCCCCAGCCGAACATGGCACCTCTCAAAGCTGCTCTCCACCATCCCTGGCTGGAGTGGGACAGCCACCCCTGCAGTGACTGATCCTGTGGTTCCTTTCACAGCTGGGTCAGCCAGGGACAGTGGCAGCAGTGTTGGGAAAGCTCCCCCGTTCCAGCATCTGTTCCTGGAGATTCCAGCTGTTGGGAGCAACTGCACAGGGTGCTGGGCTCTGCAGCAGTGACAGTGGATAGATCCCCCCTTTCTGCGCCTGCCCCCCATTGTCCTCTGCTGGGCTGGGGGTGAAGAGTTCCATGGGCTACTACTGCATGTCCCCTGACTGGCCCCTGCTGCAATAAGTTCAGCATATCAAATGGGACCTCATCAGAAGAGATCCTGAGCTTGCAGTGCTACCAAAACTGAACTGACTCTTATTCTGTCTTAGTCTCAAACCACAAAGAGTAACCTGGATCCCAAGACAGTTATCTTTAAATGAGACATAAATTGAATATACGGAGGGCCAAGTAACAGCTGTGCAAACGGGAGCCAAACATTTTCAATTGGGAACTCAGTTATAAGTCCATTTAAATTAGCTACTGGAGTTGGAAGATAAAAACCCTCACTTCTTTGACAGCCTAGCAGGAACACATCAGGCCAGAGTAAAGGGATTATGAGGCCCCCATGTAAAGCAGGTACCCCCATCTCTGCTCCTGCTTATTTCTTCACCAGTGGGGCAAGCAGCTTGTGATATAGAAAGTGGAAACTACTTGAGAGCCTGTATCACCTTTTTCACTGCAATTACAGAAAACCCACTGTAGTGACAACAGTAATGGCATAGTTAAGAAAAGGGAGATCATGGAAAGAGGGAGCAACAGAGAAGAGATGCTAACATGGAAAAGAAAAACCATGAAGGCAGAAATGAAAAAAATAAAAGATGAACTAAGACAATACTAGGATGGGGATCACCACTGAGTTTCTTTTGGCTTCATGAGCTAAATAACTTGTTGCAAGAATCTAAGAAATAAAATTTGCTGGTATATAAAAAAGATACTTAATCTTCCTCATCTCCTCACGTGAAACTTATCATTATTATAATATTTACAGCTCCCATAAACACTCTACACTTTTTTCCCAAACCATATGGTAAGACTTGGTTCTGCTAGGAAGAGCTTATTAATATCAACATAAGAGACAACCCCAAGGACAAGACCCACATTAAATCTTTGAACATTATCTTCACCTTCAACGGTTCAGAATTCACAATTTTAATCATACAAATTCTATAATGTTAAATTGAACACACTTTCAAACATCCCCATTGGAATGGCCTATACTAAAGTTAATTTTTTTCTTTAGATTTTTTGGTCATTGGTCACCATGATACTCAGGAATCACTAATTGTATTTTGAAGCTACAGCAATTTTATAGTTATACATATCAGGGTCAAACTCACTGGGCTTCATTCACCCAGTTCGGATTGCAGGGCTTCTCACAGGCCAAATCCAGACCACAGGGCTTCCCATAAGCCAGATGACCTTTGTGTGGTGGCGAAAGCATTAATTCTATGGCTGCTGGAGCTGCTGTTTCAGTTCTGCCTCCAAACCCCAGGCTAGTTACACCACTGTGACTCACTGCCCCCTCTCCCCGCACCCTGTCTTCCCCTACTGCTGCCTTAGCTGCAACGGTGTTAACTCCTTGGGTTCTGGAGCCATGTTGACACAGCAGGGATTAATGCCACCACCACAGGCATGCCCAGCAGTTGCATGGGTCAAACCTGTCCCATGGAAGTATGTGTCCCAAGCTATGAGAAGCCCCAGGGGCTAGATGATCCAACTCTATGGGCTAGATCCAGTCTGCAGGTCATATGTTTGCCATCCTTGATATATACTATATTTTAAATACTTCAGAATCACAGATGTATCAAACACATAAGGCTATACACAACAAAATAATGCAAAACCATACAACTAGGGAAAGAAAATATAAATGAACTAGGGAAGTACTACTACGAATGTTTGTCTTCACAGCCCTACTGTGACCACACATCGAACAGTGCATACAGAACTGGGATCCATGGGTTGAAAAATAGAAAAATAATAGAGAAAATTGAAAAGGCAACAAAAATTATGCAAGTATTTAAGAAGGTATTAGCTGAGAAAAATGAGTGAACAAAATGTATAAAGTCTAGGAAGGAAAACGAACATGACCAGTACCTTTAAATAAAAATATAAATGAAAGGAATTATTCATAATCTCAGAAGACAGCAGAACAAGGAAAAAGCCTAAAACTGTAGAAAAAAAAGTTTAAAATAGAAATAAGCAACCACACCCCAAACATAAGAGCAACTAGACAATGTAATGGAGTAAAAGCAAAGTGGTAAACAATTTAAGACATAAGTACAACGTATATGGTGAGTTCAGCTAATGCTTCATTAAGGTATACTATGTTCCAGATGCTAACCAACAGTTGATTAGTCTTTTCACTTACAAACAAGAAAAAAATTGGATTTCATACACAAAAGAATCACCCCTTTCATAAGAATATGCATTATATTAATACAGTATATATTTTGACAAAGATAATTACATTGCAGATCAGCAAATGAGTCCAGGTTCATTATGAGCTAACTGACCTGTATGTGACTACGAGTGGCGTGCAAGGGATAAAAAACAAGTTGTTTCTTCTGAAGAAAGGTCACCTGTTTCACCATCCAAGGGATTCACCAGCCCTTTTACACTTTCCCATGAGTCTATAATAGCAGTTGTGCTCACTCTGTGAACCAGGAAATGCCTCCTGAACCTCTCTCAAGGGATATGAGATTCCACCCCACCACGAGTTTTGACCTGTGCCTAACAGACTGTGCTTTTTTATTACAAGTGATATACCATTTTACATTTTTTTACAATCTCTGTGAAGCTGTTTTACATGTTTGAGGCTTAAAATAAAATCTAATGGCATCTTATTTTAAGCAGTACAAAACAACTCACCCAATTGGCCTTGAAACTACAAGCTCCACTTGTGGCTCAGGCTTGGATTCTAAAATGATGTTGTACACCTCCTCAAAGGTGGCACCTTGTAATAGCCTTCCATTCCACTCTAACACTTCATCACCTACAAATGCAATAATAATAGTCTGCTTAGGAAGGAAAACTTATCCTATGACCAGCCTTTACAACAACAGCCTCATCATTCTACTACAAGTTTTCTAAATTGTACAATCTGCACTGTAGAACAAATACAATGTCTCAAATACACAAAAAAACAATGAGAAGCTTTTCATATTTCAGCTGTGATTGAATAAATATCAAGGAAATACTAATATTGGCACTTAATCCATCTAGAGCCAAATCCAGTGTGGTCTCAGAGGTATCTAATTCAGGTACTTACCAAGCTCTGTGGCTTATGGGGCGGGGCCAAACAGGGGTACTTTTTGGAATTTAGGTGCCTAAATTCCACCTGAGTCCTACTTACTGCCCCCAGTTGGGCCATTACCAATGTCAGATATAGCTCTTTCCTAGTGTTTGTGGGGGGAGTCTTTTTTTAACGTGAGTTGCTCTTTTGAAAAGTTCAGGTAATCACAGAACAGCCTTAACCAGCAGCTTGAAGCCTTACTAGCATTGTACAGTCTTTCCATGAATCCTAAATCTATTCTAATATTAAAATATAATATTTCTTGTAAATTTTGCAAGGTAGCAATCCTTAGCAGTTTTAAAGGGGGCTGGATTGCATACAGAGGTATGGGCAGAATATAAAATATAAACATTTCTTTGTTGTGCTGGGCCTTTAGAGCAGATTTAGGGTGGCTTGGTTTGGGTCTAATATTAAAATATACTTCAGATAATGAGGAGACAAATATGCATCATTGAAGACACACCACAATCTTAACTACTGGCAACAGTGGTATGGGAGGAAAAATGAAAACTTGATTTAAAAAAAATGTGAGACTTGAGTCTGCTAGAGTGATAATGTGGTTAATCTAGTGACTGAATGTAAGACTCATTTTGAACTTTCTAATTTGTCATACACGTTCGTCACATTTAGTGGACAGAGGTACTTCAGCTAAACTTATCAGGATTTGTTTCCTTGTTGTATAAGAGCTGAGCTGGGTATTTCTGAAACAAATACATACCTGGTCTAAGGTGCCCCACTGTATCAGCTAAGCTTCCTTTTTTTACTTTGGTAATAAATGCACACAGTCGACCTGATTCAGTCATCTTTCCTCCTACAACCTTTTTTGAAAGGGGAGAAAGAAATTAGAATAATTTTTAGGCTGAGACTTTTTGGCAGTATACAATAATTCAGTGATTAATTAATAATGCATAATTGTATTGATTAATAATTTATTGATATAATCTAGAGGAGACAGATACAGATATGCATCCAAAAAAACATGACCAACATTGGCTGGGAGACTAAGTTGATAACCACTCTGGGGATTCATCTGCCTTAAATATAATCCATAATGGTAAAGGTTTTAAAATTTATTATTCATCTCAATAGTCTAAGTGCACTGTTTTACAGAAATGGGAGCTGTGAAAAAGCATTAACATACCACTGAATAAGCTGCTTACTTCCTTAAAAATTATACCCTCACACCTGCAATTTAGAGCAAAAAGAAACTCTTCACAGTATATGCTGATTTCATTATAGTCAAATATTTCCAATTGCCCTTAAAGGAGCTTCAGTGCAGGTACTGTGTGGAGATCATACTTCTTAATCAGTAGTTGACAGGCAGAAAACTCATTGCTACTAACTGAAGAAGTAATCATCATTTTAAACATTTATCTACAAAAGAAACTACTTTCAGAAGTTTATTTTATACCCTTATGTTTCTCTACAAGGGAAATATTGTAACTGTCAACCATTACCAAAAGAAAACAAGTCTTCAAAATGTACTATTTTTTATTAGACTTTCTACTAGCCTCAATAAAAATCTCTCTTCTCAACAAAAATCTCACAGAAGTCACAAACATCAACATCTTTTAGTGCTTCATTTGGCAAAATAGATAATCTTTTTCTATACTCTCTAGTGTTTTTGGTTTGCTTCTCCTTAGCAATGAAAATAAAGCAGTTTCATGAGGAACTCTATATGAAAATGATCCTTTGTTTTATTTAAATGTAATGTGAAACCTTGATTGCATAACAATAGCTTTTGTGCTTTTAACTCTCTTTGCTGCTTGCATTATTTCCCTTGGATATAAATCTCTCCCTTCAAAAGATAAGTACAGTAATTTGTAAACTCATGTAACCACACAGAGGAGTTTATTCTAAGAAGTAAATTTCTTAACTATTCAGTCAAATCAACTATGGTTTGGCATGTCTGAACACATTTCATATTAAGGATTTGCTCTGTAAGGACAGCAAGCAGATTTGACCTTATTAAGCATATCTCAGAATCAGAAGAGAAAATATTATAAAGATTAATCTTAAAATTCTATACATACTTGACATTTCTTAGTAGCCTTCATAGAATCATAGGGAAGTAGGGCTGAAAGGGACTTCACAAGGTTATCTAGTTCAGTCCCCTGCTCAAAGCAAGATCATCAGTAACTAAACCAACCCACCCAAGCATCTGCCTAACCCAGGGGTGGGCAATTATTTGTGCCCGTGGGTCACATAAGGAGTTTTGTTGAGCTGTTGTAGGTTGGATCAGCTCCCCCAACAACAACTCACCAAAACTCCCTACATGAGATGGGGCCATGGTCAGGTGAGCAGCAGCATTCAAGAGCGGGATGGGGCAAGATTGTGGGGCAGTGACAAAGCAGGACAGGGGCCAGGCAGAGAGCCACAACCTGCTGCCTGCATGCCCCTGTGACAAGCATGGGTTCAGCGGGCAGAGGTGTGCATCATCACCACCCCAAGATCCCAACCCTGGCCCTGGACCCAGCTCCTTATCTGCCCATGCGCCCCACCAAGATCATGAGGCGGTGACAGCACAGGGCCAGGGCAGAGCTGAACACATTCCCCACACATCCCTGCCCCCACAACAGGGGCTCAACCCCAACCCCACAGGGTAGGTATTCCAGACTATAAGAAGCCCTAAGGACTAGAGAGCAGATCATGGCTCCATCTCCGCCCTGGCCCCGCACTGTCACCACCCCAACATCCCAGCCCTGGCCCTGGGCAGCTTCCAGCCAGTCTCCAAGGAGACCCCTGGATCTCAGGGCAGTGACAGCATGGGGGCAGGAAACAGCTGTGATGTGCTCCCCACATGCCCCTGCCCACAAAACCAGGGCTCTGTCCTGATCCTGGCTCCATGATCCCAGGATCTCCATGGAGACTGTGTAGGAAGGGCTGAGAAGGGCTGGCAGCTGGATGGATAGGAAGCTGCATCCAGGGCCAGAGCCGGGATCATTGGGTGGTGACAGCATAGGGCTGGGGCCAAGGCCAGGGCCAGGACAGAGCCATGATCCACTCCCCACATGCCCCTGCCCACAGAACCTGTGCCCATTGCAGGGACATGCAGGCAGCAGATCACAGCTCTGCCCTGGCCATGGCCCTGAGCTGTCTCCACCCCAGAATGCTAGGGGTCTCTCCAGCTCCATCACTCATCCCAGTCTAGGACACTGCTCCCTGCAAGTCCATGGCCCCATCCCATCCACCTGGTCATGCACCCTGCCTGTGCTGGTCCGACCCCCAAAGGTGGCTGCAGGGTAAAGAGGTCAGAGTGCCTGGGCAGTGGGGCCAGGTCTGGCAGTGGCAGCTGGGAAATGGAGTCTGGGTCCCAGCTCCACTATGCACCCAGGGGTGGCCAGGCCAGCTGTTGCACCACGGCTCAGGCTGTCCCTGTACCTGGATTCAGCAGGGCTCTGGGGCCCCGCATAAGCCAGGCAAAATCACTGCGCAGGCTGGATCCAGCCCACAGACCACATTTTGCCCACCCATGACCTAACCTGCTCTTGAAAACTTCCAAGGATGGGGATTCCACAGTTTCCTTATGTAGCCTGTTCCAATGCTTAACCACACTTATAGTCAGAAAGTTCTTCCTAATTTCCAAACTAAATTTCCTCTGCTGCAGCTTGAGGCCATTGATCCCAGTCCAGTCCCCTACGGTCACAGAGAAAAGCCCATCTCCATTCCCTCTGTAATCACCTCTCAAGTATTTGAAGGCTGTTATCAAACCCCTCCCAGTCTTCTCTTTTCCAGGCTAAATAACCCTACTTATATCAATCAGCTTTTCCTCATAAGTCATGCTTCCCAAGCCTCTAATCATTTTTTCACTCTCTGCTGGACTCTTTCATATAATCATAGAACATTAGAGCTATAAGGGACCTCAGGAGGTCATCTAGTCCAACCCCCTACTCAAAGCAGGGCCATCCCCAACTGGGTCATTCCAGGCAGCATTTCGCCAAGCCAAGCCAAGCCTTTACAATCTTTCCATATCTTTTTTTAATGTGTGAGGCCCAAAACTGGACACAGTACTTTACATAAGGTCTCACCAGTGCCTAACAGAGCAGAAGAATAATTTCCCTTGATTTGCAAGAAGCGCCTCTGTTAATACAACCCAGTATGCTGTTTGCTTTTTTTTTTTACCACAAGAGCACATTGTTGACTCATGCAACCCCCAAGTCCTCCTCTGCAGTAGTGCAGCCTAGCCAGTCATGTTCCAAGTCTGTACTTGTGCATGCAATTATTCCATCCCAAGTGCAGAACTTCGCACTTGCCCTTGTTGAATTTCATCTGATTGATTTTGAACCAATTCTCCAATATATATATGTCATTCTGGATCCTAGCCCTGCTCGCCAAAGTGTCTGCAATTCCACCCACTTTGCTATCATATACAAATATGCTAAGCATTCACTCAATCCAATCATCCACATCACTAATGAAGATGTTAAACAATGTTGGACCCAAAACAATGTCAGACGCATGCTGGAACTAACACTATATCAAACATGCATCAACATTATAAAGAAAAACCTGATAAAATCAAATGTTATGAAATGCAAAATTGTTTAAAACAATTTTGGAACTATTATACATTGTTATTAAAACAGACATTATTCGATCTCATCAAAATGATAATGTATTTCACAAAATACAGTTCAGCAATATAACAAAATGTACAATATATAAATATAATCATGTCTAAAAAACATTATTCTGTTCTTGAGCTTTCTGGATCTGAACAGTGAAATGTATACCAGTGCTTCAAGTTTCCATGTCCACTGCCCCTTTTCCTCATAAGGTAACCATTTAAAATGTAACCATAAAAATCAAAATATATTCTAAATGAGATTAATATTGCTCTTAATTAGTTGGGTTGGTATAATTTTATTTATAATATACAACTAGTTAAAACAGTGAACTTGAAGAGAAGCCAGTATGATGCCAAAAAAAGAATATTAGGTTAATTTAACTTGTTGATAATTTGCTATAATGAAGAAATGTATTCAAAACAAATGACAGGCTTCTTTGCATTCTATGTTACCTATTTCTACTATCATTCTAGAATTGCAAACCATCATCTGAAAGTCAATGAGACAAAAATATAGTAACTAAATCATAATTCATGAATGAAAACCTAAAATATGGTATGAACATAAAATCAAATTCCAGAGATTTATTTTCTTAAGCACATCTAGGACCCTGAAAAGTAAACATTTGGGTAAGCAGAGAAAAAATTCATTATTCAATATATCTGTGTATAATAATTTTACCTTGCATTTACTGTACTGTAAATGGCACTACTCGACAAGAAGAAATTGTCCATTACAAACCTTTAATCCAAGCATTGCTCCTGAGTCCCTAGGCACACTTCCATCTTTGAGTCGTTTATTTAACAAAATCCGACCAATTAGGCGGTCTCCATCTTTGGATGGTTGCCAGGTCACAGGATGCTATGATATAATGTTAACAGAAAATATAGTGAACATTCCTTTTTGGAAATTCTCTTATCAAGTTTCATTTCTAATTTTTAGAACACCATGAAAGCACTATGATTACACCATCATTAATTACTAGATTCATAAAAATTAGTGTTAGAAAAAACTCACAAAGACAGTTAATCCATCCCTAAATACCGTATTTACTCAAATATAAGACAACCGTGATATAAGATCCTCAAATAAGTAGATTCTATATATGGAAAATTTATAAATGTGTTATAATTTTCCAAATACATAATCTAATTATTGGAGGTTTGCCTTGAATTT